AGACACCACCACCATGAAGAGGAGGCCCTGCAGAGAGGAGGCCTTGCTGGGTGAAGCACCGTGGGGGGCAGAGGTGCTGTCTGTCTCCCTCCACTGGACCTTCCCCATAACATTTCTCAATAAAGCCCTGTGCCTCACGCATTGTCGAGGATAGGACTGCTTTCTTTGGTCTCTTGGCAACCTATCCCACTGCCCTGGCACAACTGGACCAGATGTGTGACACTTTTTTTTTTCCTTTTCTATTTTCCCTCGAGGACTTCCAGCACATTCTCCATCACCAACACCAACACCTCTTCTCTCCTAGAGTAATCAACTTTATCAGCTGGGCTTTATGCTTCCTGCGTTTCTTTCTGTTATGGTAAAAAGCCTGCAGAGACCTATCACTTAGAAAACCCATGTCCTTGGCAGGGAAGGCTTAGGTTTCCCGCTCTCTCCGGAGGCTGTGCTGCAAAACCCGTATGCTGCTGCTCTGCCGCCCCGTTCCCTCTCCTCCTCTCACTCTGGGCCCTTCTTTTCTGATTAGACCAAGCAGGAGTGCCTCCTGTGAGCGAGTCAAATCCTCATGGCTGGGGAAAAGCACAAGGAAGGAACTTTCTGACAGTTGTAGCACCTCAGATGCTCAACAGCAAAGAGAAAACCCCAGCTCAGCTGGTTAAATGAGAGGAGTCCACAGGAAGAGCAGCCGCTGGCCCAGGATGGTCAGCCTCCAGCTGCAGTCCCACCCCCCCGCCCGGGGTCCCCGCCTTGTGGCTCTTGTTGCATACCAGCTTTCCTCATGGAGGCAACATGGCGTAAGAGGTCCAGAAGGAGGAGAAGGGCTACCTCTTGCTTGTCTCTAGGAACAGGAGACAAGATGCCTTTCCCACCTCTCTTCAGGTCCCAACTGGTCAGAATATGTCATGTGCTCATGATTCCGCCTACCATGGGGGGGGGGATGGGACCACTGTGGTTGGTTGACACCTGGAGCTTGGGGCTGGGGGCAGCATCCTCTGAACACATGACCATCCAGAGGGTCTAGCAAACCATGCTTGCTAGACACTTTCAGGGCTTTCTTTCCTCCATCTCCACTGTGCCTCCATCACTGGACAGAATTAGCTGGCTGCTCACTTCCCGTACTAAAAATAGTCACCTTTTCTGGTGGCCATGTGGAAGTCACCCAAGCTGAGGGCGGTGTTGCCGTGAACTCCCACGCTCCTCCCCACCCCACCCTGGATCATCTGTACTGGTTTTCGATTTTTTAAAACTTGAAAATGTAAATAATTTTAGTAAGAACAAATGCTTTGAGGTATCCTGTTCTTCCCAAGTTGATCATAATACAAGTTGTCGTCCAAAGGACCTGCTTGTCCTTGGAGTACGACAAAGCCTGAGTTGTACTCTGGGCAGCTCTCTGGGCCTGGAAGGAGGAGCACGTGACAGACTTCATCGGGAAGCATGGCCAGGTCTGGGCAGAGCAGCCCTCGGGCCTCGTGAAGGCAACAGGGTCAGTCACCTGGAGCCAGGCACTGCTGAAAAGCAGCAGCGAGGGCTGCAAGACAGATGGCCCAGACAGACCCACAGCCATCAGCAGGCCTGCCATCCTGCCTGGCTCATGTCTAGCCTCCACTTCTCACCACAGGGAACGTGGTCAATAAGTTGTTTCCCTTCTCCTCCCCTTGCAGCGGTGAGGGAGGGGATTCGATGACATCGCCAATTATAATACCCCGAGGCCGGTCTTTCTGGGTCTACTGCTGAGCCCCACAAGAATAATGGCCAACTGCCTCAATTTTGTTTTGTTCTTGGTTTATTATTGTCATTATATCATCCTTAAAGAAAGAGGGCCAGTCAAACACCATGTCCCCGAGCACCCCTCTCCATCTCCAAAACCCAAGGTAAGGGGACACTGAGAGCAGGCCTGGGCCAGGATGTCCAGACACCATCTGGAAGGACGCTGGCCTTCCCTCACGCACACTGGGAACCAAGGCGAGCCGGGTTATCTGTGGAAAGACGCTTCTCCCGTGCACCAGGGCGCTCGCTCCTTGGGACGCTGCTCAGACAAGCTCACAGAGCCAGCTGGTGACGATGCCGTCCCTTCTTCCGCAGCCTCACCAAAAACCCCTCAGTGCCCACAGGGCAGACCTGAGGGCACTGTGGCAAGGTTGCGCATCCCTCACCCAGCTGGCCTCCATAGACACCACCACCATGAAGAGGAGGCCCTGCAGAGAGGAGGCCTTGCTGGGTGAAGCACCGTGGGGGGCAGAGGTGCTGTCTGTCTCCCTCCACTGGACCTTCCCCATAACATTTCTCAATAAAGCCCTGTGCCTCACGCATTGTCGAGGATAGGACTGCTTTCTTTGGTCTCTTGGCAACCTATCCCACTGCCCTGGCACAACTGGACCAGATGTGTGACACTTTTTTTTTTCCTTTTCTATTTTCCCTCGAGGACTTCCAGCACATTCTCCATCACCAACACCAACACCTCTTCTCTCCTAGAGTAATCAACTTTATCAGCTGGGCTTTATGCTTCCTGCGTTTCTTTCTGTTATGGTAAAAAGCCTGCAGAGACCTATCACTTAGAAAACCCTCCATCTTTCTCGTTCTTTTAAGTGTCCGAGCCCAGCGTACTCAGCCTTTCTGCTCTTACGCACATCTTGTTTCTAGTCTTTTGCTAACTCGGAAAACCCTGGGGGAACTCTGGGCCTGGCTGTCGGACATCTGTGGAAGTGGGTTTTCGGAGAGGGCTCCTCCTGAAATTGCAACCCTTCCCAAGTCGTCCTGCGTGTCTGACACTCTGCAATCGCGTGCTTCGTGCTTCGCAGCAGCGGCAGGACCAGCGCTGCCTGAAGAGGGGGAGAAGTCAAGGTCACGTGCCTGAGGAAGCCTTGAACCCTGGAGTCTGTAGGGCGTGGGAAGCAGACTCGCTGAGCCTGCCTGGTGCTCTGCTGGTCTCCAAGGCCACTTCTTCCCAGTGCTGCCAGACTTTCCTGGGTTTTTCCGATTTTTCAGTAACACAGGGGTTTGCCAGGTCAAAGGTTGTTGAGGGCCACAGCCGAGTCGGGATGATGCATGGCATTTTTGCCAGAAGTAGTGGTTGAGAGGTGATGCCAGCGAGCCATTAAGATGATGACTTTTGAGTTCTCCCGGAGTTCCCCATCCCGTGGAGTTCCCGTTGAGCTCTGGGGGGGGGATTCCTGGGGGGATTCCTGGAGAGTTCCCAATGGTTGGGGAAGTGCCGGAGGAGGGATTTCCGGTTGGTTGGTGGTTCCTGGAGGAGCTGCGTGGCGTTTGGGAGAGTTGCTGGGGAGCGTGTGTGGAGTGTGCTGGTGGAGTTCAGAAATAAAGTCTGTTCCTGCTTCAGTGGCTCGTGATTTGTGCCCAGCCAGACTGCGGCAGTCTCCAAGGCCGCTTCTTCCCAGTGCCAGACTTTCCCGGGTTTTTCTGGTTTTCAGTAACACAGGGGTTTGCAAGGCCAAAGGTCCCTCTGTGGGACAGCACCTATTTCTGCACCTTCCTTAACAGGAAACGTCAAACTAGGACCTTTGCCTCTGACGGCCAGGCCCGTGAGCCCGGTGGTTGTCGTCTGCCTTCTTCCCACTCTGACGACCGGACGCCCCAAGCCAACGTTCAGGGGCCTGGTGCTCCTCTCCCCCGACCTGCTGTAAAACCGCCCGCTTTAGGGGACGACCAACTTGAGCTTTTCCCGAAAAGGCCCTTTCTGGATTGTATGGCCGCCGCTGGGGCCAGCACCTACTCCTGCACCGGGGAGGGACGCCGCACTAGGAGACACGGTCCACTCCGGGGAAGGCTGCCCAGTCGGGCCTTCCTGGAGCCACCACGCCAGCTGCGACACGGGCTCGTGGCCACCACGCAGACTCGTGCGCCCGCCCTCGGAGAGGCCAGCCTACCCCGCAGCGGCTCGCCACCTGCCCACCTGCCGCGAGGCCCAGACTGTCACTGGACACTGCCCTCTCCAGCCCGCCTCCGGCCACGGTGGAAAGGCCCGGATGGGCCACACCAAGGCCCGCCCCCGCTTTCTCTGTGACTGACAGGAGCCGCGGTCCAATCAGCAGCGCGGCCTGGCCGACCCCGCCCACAGCAGGCCCTCGCCAGCCCCGGCGCCACCGAGCTCGCGCGGCGCGGTCCCGTGTCGCTGTCGCTGGCAGGTGCGTGCCGCCGGCGGGACAGTCGCCCCGCGCTGCCTGCGCGCGCCGGGCTCCGTTCTGGCCACCCCGCGGCCCCGGCGCCCGTCCACCCGGTCGGTCCGCAGGGCGGCGAGCCTGCAGGCCCTGCGCGCTCCCGGGGCCTCCCCGAGCGCAGCGGCCGCTCCGAGCGACACGAGGTCGGACTCACCCCCCGCTGGTGGCCCAGGTGTGGCCCGCGGGAGGCGCCGGGTCCCGGCAGGCCACCAAACAGCCCCAGGCAGGGCCTCGGCGCTCCGTGAAGCTGCCCGGCGGCGGCAATCAGGGTTCTTGTCTTTGGCCTCACTCCTTTAAGGACTTTGATTACTTTTTGTGTCGCTCCAAAATGGGACATTCAGCTCCTGCAGGCTTGATCACATTCACCTCACAACTGATAGGTGTTGTCTAGTTCCCAGACTCGCTTCCAGTTCAGGGAGGAAGCAGCTGCCAGGGGAGGAGAAATAAGAGAATTGATCCAGGAAGAAAGGACTTAATGAGAGGAGTGGAAGAAGGAGGGCAAGGCGCGGTGGATTCGGGTGAATATCGGGGGCGTGAGTCGGCGCCTTTATACTCCAG